AAAACTATGCGAATATTGATTTTGCAATTACCAGTAAAAAGGCGGCATGTGAAAAATACAGTGATCTAACCTGTATCTTATTATGTTAAAATATAATTTTTAAAGAACACAAAAAGCAGCAGCTAATTAAAAAATGCAAATATTTGAATTGCAGGACAAATAATTATTTAAGTTTAATACACTGTGATTTGTTATTCTGAAATTACCATAATGCACCTATTAGATTTAGTATATCGAAATTGAAAAGCGCTCTTATATACCAATTACGCTTTCACAAATTGTCTTTAACCTGTGATGTTTTAGCATTTATGATTAAAATATTATTTAACTCTGTTTGTAGACAACATGTTTTGTTAAAACCAATAGTTTTACAATGATATATCAAATAGTAAAGTAATTTTTGATCTGGTTGAGTTTGACAATTACAATAAAACGAGCCGACCCGCGGCATATCATACGCCGCTATTTAGTTGTTTTATTTTTTACTTTTCAGTCATTCATAATTTGTGAATTCGACAGTACCAATGCTGCCACTGAAAATATTTGCTATAAAACTTTACCCCCCCCCTTTCCCCCAACCCCAACCCCTACCCTATAACCCCCCCCCCCCCCCCCCCGTGAAAACAGCCTCCTCTTAGTTACCTCCTCTAAGCTCCAAGTTTAAAATCATTTCAAACTAAATTATCTGCCCCTAATAGCCGTCACTAAACCCGGATTGTAAACATTTAGAGTGAACCATCGCTCACCAGACCATGTGTGGGGGGGGGTGGTAGTGATAGAGAGGAAGAAAGGGGACTGCAAGGCACGTTTTGCAGCTTGTTTTCTAACGTCTCCCAGAAGAGAATTATATATATAGATGTGTAGACCAACACATTTCTATATTAAGAGAGTGATTATTTCCCATAATGCAATTCGCTTGTCTTAATTAATACTCCGTTATGTCAAAATGTTTTTTTTTACAAAGTCTGCAAAATAGATTGTTTTGGGTTTCTTGTTTTTTGTTGTGAGGTGTGTATATTATGTGTTGTACTTTGTTTTGTGTAATAAATTGCGTTGTCGGTCAAAGTGGTGTTTTGTTCTTTTGTACTCTATAGAGTCATTTTTAAAAGTATTTTTCACATTAGCGATTCAATGTCAAACAGCTAGTATATTGTATATTAATATATATATATATATATATATATATATATATATATATATATATATATATATATATATATATATATATATATATATATATATATATATATATATATATAAATGGCGCCTTTTTCTCGACTCACCGTCCCCCTAACCCAAAAACCTGTATATGCCGTATTGGGTTGCCGAGTTTCGCTATTGATCGGCGCCACCCTACACTTCGTAACAAAACATTTTATAAATTAAATTTCTGTGTCTAATATCTAAACCAGAGGCGTAGCGACCCTTCCCGGCGCCCGGGGACACATTTTCGATTGGCGCCCTCCCTCAGGAGCAACTTTTCAACTTGCACACCCCCCCCCCCTCAAACTTTCGATTTGCGCATCCCCCCTCAAACTTTCAATTTGCACCCATTTTGGCGCCCCCTAAGGTCGGCGCCCGGGGACATATGTACCCCCCCCCCGCCCCTCCCATCGCTACGCCTCTGATCTAAACGTTATCTCTCTAAACTATCACCGGGATGTATGTATGTACTTATAAAAAAAAATTGCAATACTAATGCAAAAGAATAATAATATAGATCTATACTTCGTCTTGTACTTCCATGTGAAATACAAACAACACTAGTCGCATGCTGCCCCGGCCCAACTATCTGCAAGGTACATGGGTCCAACTATCTGCATGGTGCCTGGGCCCAACTATCTGCATGGTGCCCCGGCCCAACTATCTGCATGGTGCCTGGGCCCAACTATCTGCATGGTGTCTGGGCCCAACTATCTGCACGGTGCCCCGGCCCAACTATCTGCACGGTGCCCCGGCACAACTATCTGCACCGTGCCTGGGCCCAACTATCTGCATGGTGCCTGGGCCCAACTATCTGCGTGGTGCCTGGGCCCAACTATCTGCATGGTGCCTGGGCCCAACTATCTGCACGGTGCCCCGGCCCAACTATCTGCACGGTGCCCCGGCACAACTATCTGCACCGTGCCCCGGCACAACTATCTGCACCGTGCCTGGGCCCAACTATCTGCGTGGTGCCTGGGCCCAACTATCTGCATGGTGCCTGGGCCCAACTATCTGCATGGTGCCTGGGCCCAACTATCTGCATGGTGCCTGGGCCCAACTATCTGCACGGTGCCTGGGCCCAACTATCTGCATGGTGCCCCGGCCCATCTGCATGGTGCCTGGGCCCAACTATCTGCATGGTGCCTGGGCCCAACTATCTGCATGGTGCCCCGGCCCAACTATCTGCATGGTTCCCCGGCCCAACTATCTGCATGGTGTCTGGGCCCAACTATCTGCATGGTGCCTGGGCCCAACTATCTGCGCGGTGCCCCGGCCCAACTATCTGCATGGTGCCTGGGCCCAACTATCTGCATGGTGCCCCGGCCCAACTATCTGCATGGTGCCTGGGCCCAACTATCTGCATGGTGCCTGGGCCCAACTATCTGCACGGTGCCTGGGCCCAACTATCTGCATGGTGCCCCGGCCCAACTATCTGCACGGTGCCCCGGCACAACTATCTGCACCGTGCCTGGGCCCAACTATCTGCATGGTGCCTGGGCCCAACTATCTGCGTGGTGCCTGGGCCCAACTATCTGCATGGTGCCTGGGCCCAACTATCTGCACGGTGCCCCGGCCCAACTATCTGCACGGTGCCCCGGCACAACTATCTGCATGGTGCCTGGGCCCAACTATCTGCATGGTGCCCCGGCCCAACTATCTACATGGGCCCAACTATCTGCGCGGTGCCCCGGCCCAACTATCTGCATGGTGCCTGGGCCCAACTATCTGCATGGTGCCTGGGCCCAACTATCTGCACGGTGCCTGGGCCCAACTATCTGCATGGTGCCCCGGCCCAACTATCTGCATGGTGCCTGGGCCCAACTATCTGCATGGTGCCTGGGCCCAACTATCTGCATGGTGCCCCGGCCCAACTATCTGCATGGTTCCCCGGCCCAACTATCTGCATGGTGTCTGGGCTCAACTATCTGCATGGTGCCTGGGCCCAACTATCTACATGGTGCATGGGCCCAACTATCTGCATGGTGCCTGGGCCCAACTATCTGCATGGTGCCCCGGCCCAACTATCTACATGGGCCCAACTATCTGCGCGGTGCCCCGGCCCAACTATCTACACGGTGCCTGGGCACAACTATCTGCATGGTGCCTGGGCACAACTATCTACACGGTGCCTCGGCCCAACTTTTTGCATGGTGCCTGGGCACAACTATCCGCTAGTTTCAACCTTTCGAGCGGAATGGGGGCTATATGATTAGTAAATCCAGCATGATTTACAGCAGAAATTAAATTAGATATTTTAATGTAAACACTAGGTTCGTGCATAGGGTAATAATCTTCATACGACATGGTGACGTATTAAGTTTTTGAAACATGTTTGCATCCACTCATCGTCTGTTTTTACACTACAATCCACCATTCGCTTTATTAGTTGTACTGTAAATAATTTTACATCTTACGGTTGAACTTACCATAGCCAACCTACAACTTTCAATATTTGTTTATTGATTGTAGGCTTTTATATGTGTTTATGTATAATAAACTCATAGCTGTAGGTTCAGAGACTTGCTTGTTGTTTGATTACATTATTATTCCTGCATAGTCCGCTATACATTCAACCTCGCCTAACAGCTTTACAAACCTGACGGTTAATGGAGGAGATGAAGTCTTACTAATAGGGGTGGGCAGTTCCCAACTCTCCCCCCCCCCTCCGCTCAGATGCCTGAAAGAAACTCTGGTTCAACTTTAAGATGATACCGGGGATTAGGCCACAATTTCCCAAATCAACCAAGAGTGCATTATTAACCAAATTTTTAGAAATGACGTTCAACTAAAAGAAAACTATCAGGGGCGGAACAACAGTGCCGCCAGACCCCGCAATGTGGGGGGGGGGGGGGGGGCAGGCCCGTTTAGGGGCGCACAGGCGACCATAATCAATTTTTTATAGTTAAAAAATAATTTTCTCGCATTTTTTACTTGAAAGTTGTTTTGTAAAAAGAAGACTGTAGCCGCGGTTGGACTATCTTTATTCTATAGACACCATCCCGAGTCCTCTCTCTTCTACAATGAAACACACGCTGTTGTCGGAAAAATTCTTTTGATAATAAATCAAAGGCCATCGCGCGAGAGGCCGCTATATAGGGGGATAGGTGTACTACTTGAATCATCAGTCTCGCTGCATTTGGGGCCTCCGCCGGTGACCGTGTCTCAAGAGCCCAGTGACGCCTCTGACACCAAGGCCGTCGCCGAGGGGTGTTTCTTTCACCATCAGCGTAAACCGGGGCGTGTTTGTGGAAGTGTGTACAAACTAGCGCCTTTACTAAGCCTTTTATAGTTCCGCCACTGGCACCTTGATAGTGGTTTTGTAAAAAAAAAACAGATCTACTACAGTTGTGATGTTGTACAGTAGCTAACACACCCTGTTGCGTAAAAGAAAAAAATATATTCATGAGTTGTAGTGTGAAAGATAGGCAAACGTTCAAACCACTTCAATGACTTATTTCCCTTTTTTTAGTCAAATACGTGTGCTCTTTAGCACCTTTTAATAGACTTGCACTAAACAAATTAAAAAGCAATTACTTCTCTTAATTATTTTATTTTAAATACATACTAAAGAATGACATAGTATAAAAAGTAAATGCTTTTAAAACTAAAAATATAAAAATACATAAAAATAAACATAACGCGAGAAACTATTACACATACAAACCTTTCATGCTTCATATTCCTTTCACCGACTTACTAATAGAAAGTATTATGGCAGACATATACTAAAACAGACATATGTTTCAAAACAGACTAATAGCACTCACACAAATAACGTGTTTTAACTTGTTTTACTTAAAAAAAAACTAAAAAAATGTTGTTTTTTTATTTCAAAACTCGAACTATTTGATGTTTAAACATTTTCGATAACTAAACAAAAAAAAATTTCAAAGAGCCAAAAACAACTTGGTTACCATTTTTTATCACTGAAAATATAAGTACACATGGCATAACTAGTACGAGTTTATATTATTATTTTTTAAAGTTTCCAAAAATACATAATAAAGTCTAAAGAACGTATCAATGACATGGCCATACATTCAAGAAACAAACAACCCATCATTTCATATAAGCATTCCCATAGAACAAATATGGAGGTAGACGAAGAAAAGAAAAAAAAAACATTCTGCAGGAAGACATGGAAAAAAAACAAATTTTATATAACACGCAAAGCTCACATTGCCTAGAAAGTTCTGTCACGACATGCTTACAACAAGTATATCCAAGAACAAAAATACTCTGTTGAGTATTAAATCTCAATATTAAAAAAAACGAATCATAGTATTAACGTACAAATAGAAATGACATTTTATAAGACTTTAACATGTCTATGATTTCTTAATGCAGTTAAGGGGGTCAACTAAGTTCAAAACTACTTTCTTTAAAAAGAACAATTTGACTGATATAATACTTTGTGTGCACATAGGCATAAATATCCCTTATAAAAAATGTAAAATATATTTTTAAAATAGGAGCTGGAGCACAACACCTTGGTGAAATATTTTTTTTTTTTTGTAATTTGGCAATAGGGCTTGTAAATAAGTCACAATTTCTCGTACTATGCAGCTAGTAGATTTCGAGACCATAGACTTACAAGCCCTATCTTTACTTGGGTAGGTTTACCCCTACATTTCCACCAAGAGTTACCTTTTCCTTTTGCTTGGCCCACATCTTTACAGCAGCCTGCTTCTCCATGCTGCGACTGGACTACAGATGGTTTATATCACACTATGTTTTGTGTGCGTGAAACCAGTTCATGAATTTCTCTTCACTCTAAATACTTTTGAAACATATATACATCAGAACATTAGTTAACATTGATTGAAATGACGGAGTGGGTATATTCGTGATGTGATAAAGAGAAAGGTTGAGTTAACAAGCTAAAGTTTTTTCAACATGAGAAATACAGTTTTTCCAAACACAACACATTCATGTTTTATAACAGCCCGGTGTGAATTACAACATGACGTGACAATTTCTTTTAAGCAGCAAATTTTTTGTGATCTACATCACACTCAAATGGTTTCTCATCTGAATGGGTTTTAAGATGTTCAGTTAAATACCACTGAAATTGAAACTTTTTCTGACACACATCACACTCTGGGTGGGTTTGGCTATGTTTGATTAAACGATTTCTAGTTGAAAATATTTCATTACAAACATCACACTCATAACGTTTAACTTCTAGGTGGGTTTGACGATGATTGCTTAAAAGCTTTCTAGTTGAAAATATTTCATTACAAACTTGACACTCGTGTTTTTTCACTTGTGAATGAGTTTTATAATGATCAGTTAATTGAAGGAGAAAACGAAATTTTCTGTGACACACATTACATTCATGTGGCTTCTTTACTGTGTGAGTTCTACTGTGGTATGTTAACTGTATCAAAGTATAAAACGTTTTGTGACACAATTCACATTTATGGGGTTTATCACAATAAATTTCCTTATGCTTCACTAACCTAGTTTTACGAGTAACTTTTTTCGGACACACATCACAATTATTTGGTTTCTTTTCAGAATAATGTTCTGGATGAATTTTGGTTCTATGTATGTTTAAAATACGCTTACTAGAAAGAATTTGATAACACAAATCACATTGATATCCATGTCCTGTATGAGCATCTGTATGTTCTTTTAAACTTCTTTTACTTGCCAACATTTTATGACACACACTACACTCATGTAGTTTCTTTTTTGTATGAGTTTTTTTCTGCACTCTTAATCCACTCTTTTGACAAAACACACTATGACACACATCACACGCCTGTGGTTCCTCTCCTGAGTGAATCCTTTTATGATTTACTAATTGGCGATTTTCATTAAATTTTTTGTGACACACATCACATTCATGTGGTTTCTCTCCCGTGTGAACCCTTTTATGAGTTACTAATTGGCTATTTTCAATAAATTTTTTGTGACACACATCACATTCATGTGGTTTCACTCCAGCATGAAGTTTTTTATGATACGCTACCTGACTTCTATTACAAAGCCTTTTGTGACATGTATCACACTGATACGGCTTCTCTCCTGAATGAATGTTTCTATGACTGTCTAAATACAACTGATAGCGAAATGTTTTGTGACACACATCACATTCATATGGTTTCTCTCCCGTGTGAACCCTTTTATGAGATACTAATTGACGATTTTCAATAAATTTTTTGTGACACACATCACATTCATGTGGTTTCACTCCTGCATGAAGTTTTTTATGATATGCTACCTGACTTCTATTACAAAGCCTTTTGTGACATGTAGCACACTGATACGGCTTCTCTCCTGAATGAATGTTTCTATGACTGGCTAAATAACACTGATAGCTAAATTTTTTGTGACACACATCACATTCATGTGGTTTCACTCCTGCATGAAGTTTTTTATGATATGCTACCTGACTTGTATTACCAAGCCTTTTGTGACATGTATCACACTGATACGGCTTCTCTCCTGAATGAATGTTTCTATGACTGGCTAAATAACACCGAGTGCGAAATTTTTTGTGACAAACATCACACTCATGTGGTTTCAGTCCTGAGTGAGGTTTTACTCTTGAATGGATTTTTTTATGTTTGTACAAAGAATCCCAGGAAGAAAACAATTGATGACATTTCAAACATTCATGTTTAACTGACGGAGGGTGGTGAGTTTTTAAAACACTCTTGAGCTCGTTTAAATCACTGAATATCTCTGTTTTAATTTGATGAAAACTTTTAATTGACGAAGATGTCATTGATGACGGTCTGATAAAAGTGCTGGGAATGTCCTGTGGTCTATCATTATTTAATGCCATTTTATCCAGGTTAGTATCAAACTCTGATGACAAGGCAGTTTTTGTGTGTTTATTATTTTCACATTTGACTAAATCGAATGGCTTTTCACCTGATAATGTAGGTAACGGAATATTTTGTGCAGCCTCATCCACAGTTCTAACTTCAGGTACGACAATCGGCTCAATGTCCTCACACACCTCATGTTTAATAATCATTTCACTCTGTGTTGCTGTCAAGTTTCTTTTTGTATTCATTCTCTTCAGCTCTAGATTGATGAATTCATAACTGATGAAAAACAAAAAATTTATAAATTTTCCACAAAAAAAGCTAATGTGAATCTTGTTTAGGCCCAGTAGACACAAATATAGTAATACTTCCTGTAAATACAAACCTTAAATTGTACAATGTTGTAAGAACTTTTTTAGCCTAAAATATTGAATGTAAGAACACAACAATATGAATTTTAAAATGTTAGGCCTATATATCTCAGAGTAAAACTAAAACCCTTAAAATGGTACAATATATTTTATGTTTTATGTGCCAATACAATAGTAGTAGATAATTTAAGATAAAAATAATGGGCTTTTTGGGTTAAGGAGAATCACTAATCTCTTAAGAGATGGCTGGGCTAAACATACATCAAAATAAATTAATGGTACTTAATTTTTAATTTTAAAGTTGCTATGAATATTGACACAAGCTTTAAACTTAAGATTAATTAATTATTATTATAAAATAATTTTAACATAAACACCTAATATCAATAAGGAGCATATTTCAATTTTTTTTTAAATCTGTAACAGTAACTAGATTTACAATCTACATATCAATATTGGAAGCTATGATTTGAGAAGAATAAACGCAAGCTTTTTATCAGATCTAGATTTACAATTGAGAATAATCTCAAAATTGTACTAAAGGGCCATTAAATATCTTTAAAAATCATGTACGATGTTATTAAAATACATATGGTTATGAAAATCTGTTTGGTTTATGTTAGACTTTACTTAAGATTGGATGTAATTGATGTTTTTAGTATTTTTGGTAGCTCAGAAAAGTTTTTAAAATAAGCCAAAAACAATTGAATTGTTTACATTTTTATCAAAGAAATTATAGGCCCTAAACAAAAATGGATAAACTTTAAATGTAGCCTTACAAAATGACTACTCTGAAAAAAGATTTTCCCCCTAAGTGCTATCTGGTCGGCAAAGATGCAAAACGCAGTTGCGCTTCAGGCGGGTCGTCAGGGGTTGAGGGCTTATAGTAAATAGTATAACTAGCAAAGAGTTCTAGTCTTTAAGTTAGCATAACATTTTTTTTTTTAAATCTGTTTTAATAGCCTATTTAAATCTACTGTTTAAGTATTTATCGTGTAAATCCCTGTCCCATTAAGACAACACATAGGCCTAAACAGCAAACATTTAGATGACAAGAAAAAACAGGTAATTGTAGAGCTATGTTATTAGGCTAAATCTTAGTTATTTTCATACTTAAGTTTTTACTTTTTATTATTTTTACGGTCGCTTTACATGTTTTTTACAACAATAATGTATTAAAGATAGAGGAATTCTCATCAACTCTGTCATGTCCATTGAGTCAATTGCATCGATCTACTACTGTATTAAATCAAGTAAAATTGTAATAATGTAATATTATAAAGGTAAAGGCCTAGATCAATATCTAGATAGAAGTCTGGGTACGGTAGCTGTAAGGATGAGAGAAGATGCTGAAGTGAGTGAATACAGATGAGATACTAAAAATATACTTAGGGCCTAGATTTTAAATGTAGAGTAGATTTAGATCTAGAATCTAGTAAATTTACATGGTACACAGAGTGATCATTACAGTATCATTACACAGTATTACACGTAACTATTTATAGTAATTTCAAACAATTTGAGTAATCGGTAGGCTAATCTAATTGTTTTACTAATTACGTAAAATTGGCAGAGACAAGTCTAGTAAGTACTAAGAACTAGATCTACTAAGTAGATCTAGAGTCTAGATCTAGATCTAGTAATGTGAAAAAAAAATTAAAAAGTGACTCATTAAATTTTTGGAGGCAAGAGAAGGGTCTAGGCCTAGGGAAGGCTAGCCTAAAACTAGTATTATAAAATATAAAAGTTGCAAATCCAGAGAACTTGAAAATAATTTGTTGAGATTAAGGCTACATTTCTATTTATTTTCATCAAGCCTAAGTTATAACCGGATGTTTCACTTTCGTAAGACAAATATTGATTGGCTGTACAGTAACTTAGTGATCGATAACTATTTGTTTACAAAACTTTGCAGATCAAGTTTTTAAATAACAATGCAAATTTCAAACCCCATGACCTAGTTTTCTATTTTTAGCTTACAATGTGTACAATAAAATCTATGGCGGCCTATCCAATAGCAGGATGCCATTGTTTATGTCGCCATTACACGTGAAAACCAAATTGTTTTTGCTTTTTAGCGCAATTTCCATTCTGGAGAATTGCGTTTATTAACCCGTCATTTCTGGATGTATGTATGAATGGATGGATGGATGGATGTGTGTCCGCAGCTTTAAGTCGTATCTCCTCCTCAACGAAGCAATATCGATGACTAGTTCTAAAAGCAATTATGTTAAGCAAGTTACGAGGATGAGCATAGGCCATAAAAATTCCGGGTTTCTTTCATGTATTTCCCGGAAAAGCCAAAAAACCTCGAAAAAATGCAACCAGACCACTTAGCGACTTGAAACATGTACCAATCGATTCCTGCCATAATTTAGAACAATATTGCCGAAGAAAGTTTTCAAAAATATCCTCTCGTTCGGGCACAAATTTTAAAATTACATAAACACCTACAAACCGATCGTTCTTCTAGCTTGAACGCACCCCAGCATTATACGTCAGAGCTATTTTTAGATAACATAAGGAAATTGCACATAAATGTCACTAGACTTTTTTAATTAACTTGTTTTTTAATTTTTATTTAGGCCCTAGTTACCGAAAATATTATGGTAATCCCTTAGTTTAGCGTCGGAAATTATCGGGTAATGTTTGTTGAGTTTCGGTAACTAGAGTTACGGTAAACCATGGTTTATTTGACCATTGAGATATAAATAAATTGAAAGTCGATTGTAGTAAATTAATGTTTTAATTTTTTAAGTTTAATCGACTAAAGAAAACAAGAATAAATATAATAGTAGATTTAAATTAGTAGATCTAAAAATAAAAAAAAAACATATATTAATACAAATATAAATAATGAAGTCAAATGTAATAATTTAATGTTTTTGGCTTGCAGCAGATTTGCGACCATTAATTAATTAGATCTAGATCTAGCTAGATATCTAGCTGCTAGACCAAGTAAAAAAATCTAGATTACAAAAATAGTAAAAATTATTACAAAATGTAAAAATGATTACAAAAATAAATGTATTGATTACAGTACTTCCGGTGAATTCCAGAAGTGTGTGACAGACTTTGGCATTGTTTTACTGTTTTTTACTGCTATACGATTCCGGAATAATAACCGATTCCGGAATAATAACCGACGCTAAACTAAGGGATTACCAATATTATAAACATCAAATAGTGACAAATAGTATTTGACAAATACATCCAATCTTTAGTAAAGTCCGAAAAAAAACCAGACAGGCAGGATTTTATAACCATATTAATTGTAACTACGCTGTGCATGATTTTTAAATGAATTTATACACCTCTCAAATGACAAATACCTTTGTCCTTTGTTTGAGACTTTAACTTTTCTCGCTGGTGTCCATTCATTATTAAATTAATACTAATTATTTCACATTTTTAGAAGGATTTATGTTTTGAAAGTTACAAAAATGTTTCAAAGTTTCATTAATGTAGATCTACCTGTTTTTAAACAATCTTATTAAAACTTTTTAGTAATAAATAAAGACTAGCGATGTTTTCATCAGATGCAGCCAAGCTCATTTACTTTAGCAGCCATCTTGTTTAATTTTTTTTGTTTGGTCAAATTTACAGGGGAAACCACTCTAACTTACAGATGGCAGCAAATCTTGATTGCAAACTGCATAGAAACAATGAATTAGCTTTGTTACTAACTAACCAGTAACCTGCATCCTAGGGGTGACACCAAAACGAAGTTTTTAGTTCATTTTAATGAGAAAGCTTGCCGTATACTGTTGGTTTAGTAGCTTATTAGTTATACACATCATTAGGCTTAGGCACAGGGTGACACCATAAAATCATTAAAATGTATGGGCGAAAATCATTAAAATGTATGGGCGAAACACAAAGTGCATTTAATAATAATAATTCATCATATGTAGATCTAGTTGTTGGAGTTAGGGGTGGCACCCTTACCTTAGTAAACTACCATACCAGGTGGCACTCGACCTAGTGACGCCACTAATGTGTCTAATAAGCTGCTGGTGGATTTGTCACTAATGGATTGGTAAAGGGAAGACATAGCCATTATGAATCAAATGAATACACAATGGTCAATCTTGTGGTACAAAAAAAGGTGTCATTGTGAGACATTTACCATAGGCAGGGGCGTAGCGAGGGGGGGGGGGGGGCGGGGGTGCGGACAGCACCGGGTGACACCATTTAGGGGGGTGACACCAAGGCAAAAGATAGCAAAATATATAGAGAAAAACTTGAGGGGGGTGCACATCGTAAGGTTGAGGGGGGGGGGGGGTGCAAATCGAAAACTTGAGGGAGGGGGGTTGCAAATCGAAAGTTTGAGGGGGGGGATGCAAATCGAAAATTTGAAAGTTTGTTCCCTGGAAGGGTCGCTACGCCTCTGGAGGGGTGACACCATTAAGTGCCGCACCGGGTGACACCCGACCTCGCTACGCCACTGACCATAGGCATACCAATAGGTGTTCACAGTGGCGTAGCCAGGATCGTCTCAAGGGGGGGGGTCCAATTTTTACCCGGGGACAAACTTTTGATTTGCACCCCCTCCCCTCAAACTTTCAATTTGCATCCCCCCTCATACTTTATATATATATATATATATATATATATATATATATATATATATATATATATATATATATATATATATATATATACCAAGAGGTCTATGGGGGGGGGGTTATGATTCCCCTTAACACCCCCCCCCTGCCTACGCCACTGGGTGTTCATAAAATGCAGGGTGGGAAACTTGAAATGGCAGTCCATTTGTTGGTTGAAAGTTGAAACGCTATAAGCAGCAAAACTAATGGTAAAATTGGAAATATGTTTGTGATTATTTCTTTTATCTTTGTTGTATGAAAACAGAACAGTGTATTGTATGGCTTAGTTGTAGAATAAACAACAATGCTTACTTACAAGTGTAGTGTTATTTCTTTTTATGCTTTTCAATGTTTTGACTTTTTTTTGGACACTGACACACTCACGCCTCTCCTTTAGGTTAATGCACTATCAAGTTGCTTGGTTACTTATGATTATAAGTGAGGAATCCTCTGCTAATCTAGTAATTATCTAAATATATATTTAGACAAATTGCTTGATGAAGTCAAAGCTTTGGATTTCATTTAATGTTACTGGTTAATGTATTCTTGGAAATTGGTTATTCGCTCTGTTGTATTTATTCAGAGAAATTGGTTCCAATAGGTGTGGTTAACCTTGTTAACCAGGTGCTGAGAACTGAGATTGCAATAGTTACCTTCTGCAAAGATATTTATCAAGTACAATGACATATTGTTTATATTGTTAAACCTTAAAAGTTAATAGTGATCTAAAATCAAGGGTTCTAATATCATTCTTTTTAATGGGCAACTTTTTAAAATTAACTATAAAAATGGTTTTAATTGCTCTTTATTTTTAAGCATTAAGTAAACCTAAGATAATTTGAATAAACCAATAACATTTCAACTCTCTTTAATTCACATACAAACAAGATATTTATTTGGACAAATGTTGCATTTCAGCTTGTATTGGTCTTTGGGTAAACAATCAATTCTCTTCTGGATAAATATACATTCATACATCAATGATTTACATCTAAATAAACTACTTGTAGTCACTTATTTACATTATTTACAATACATACATTTTTAACATTGGAAATTAAAATTGACAGCATTAGGTTGACATTGATCAAGTTAACAATTTAAATGGCCTCTCTCTTGAGTTAGAAAACTAACATAATGGCTTCCATTTTTGTAACCTGAAAATGAAAAATCTCTTTGCCACATATTCACAATTGTTTTTCTTTTTTTTTTCTTCATTTTTTTAAAAGTAGTAATAACTGACAAAAGCATAGGTAAGAAAGTAAACAGATATATATGCTTTTTCTGCATTTTTGTGTTTGCGGATACTTTTAATGAGCGTTTTTGGATAAAGTTAAACTCTCCTTGCCATCATCAGTGAGTTAATTTATGCCGTGTTAAATGAGCACTGCGAGAAAATTTCTTAAGACACAAGTCACACTCATGCAGTTTAACTCCTAAGTGAGTTTTTCTGTGTTTCCTTAAGCAGCCCATGGAAGACAGCTGTTTAAGACACACATCACATTCATATTTAAGTCCAGCGTGAATATTTGTATGAGAATCTAAGCTACTTTTGTAAGTAAACTTTTTATGACAAATCCCACACTCATATGGTTTATCTTTCAAGTGGATTTTTTTGTGGGAAGTTAGATTAACTTTAGCAGGGAACTTTTTGTGACACACATCACACTCATATCGTTTTTCTCCTGTGTGAGTAGTTTTATGATATTCTAAACCACTGCTACCAACAAATGATTTATGACACACATCACATTTATGTGGTTTCTCACCTGAATGAGTAGTTTTATGACATATTAAACCACTCAGTCGAGAAAACTTTCTAAAACAAACATCACATTCATGCGGTTTTTCATTAAAGTGAATTGTTTTGTGATATAATAAGCCACTCAATCGGGTAAATAGCTTGTTACATACATCACACTCATGAAGATTCTCCCCTGTATGAAGTTTACTATGTCTGCTTAAACAAGTCTTAGAGGAAAACTTTTTGTGGCATACACTACACTCTTGTTTACGTCCTGTGTGGATATCTGCGTGCTCTGCTAAGCTACCTTTGGTTGCAAATTTTTTTAGACATACTCCACACTCAAATGGCCTCTCTCCTAGATGAACTCTATGATGAGAATATAAATTACGTCTAGCCGGAAACCTTTTGTGACACACTTCACACTCATAAGGTCTCTCTCCTGTATGGACAACTCTATGGTATGCTAACCCACTGCTAACAGCAAAGCTCTTATGACATATTTCACACTTGTATGGTTTTTCTCCTGAGTGACTGGTTCTATGTGCAGATAAGCCACCACTGCGAGCAAACGTTTTAGGGCATAATTCACATTTGTATGGTTTTTCTCCTGTATGGGTTCTTTTATGTCTGGCTAAAGTATTACTGAAACTAAACGTTTTGAGACATATATCACACTCATGTGGTTTCTCTCCAGTGTGAATTTTTTTATGCTGGTACAAATTACCAGCTCCAGGAAATCTTTTAAAGCACAAATCACACTCATAAGGCTTTTCTATTACATAATTTGTATTTACCTGATCTACTGATTTTTTGTTGGAAAAGCTAAGTTGTTTTGCTGTTGAATCTATAGCTCGAGGGTCTTCACTGTTTTGATTTTCAATTAAATCAAATGGTTTTTTATCTTCAGATGTTGGTGATACACTTTGTTTTGCCTCTTCATTACTTGAGAATTCAGTTAAAACTTCAGGCTTAATGTCCTCAAATATCTCACGTTTAATCAAAATTTCACTTAATAAAGTTGCATTTCCTTCTTTATTCAACTCTGAGAGTTGTGTATCTCTTAAAGCTGAATGATCTGTTGATTTATCATGCTGCCCTATAGACAAACCGTCAATGCTATTTGTGTGCATTGAGGTGAGCTCTGATAGATCACTAAACATCTCTGTTTTTATGTCTTGAAAATGTGCATTTATGCTCGATGTGACTGAAGGAGTGAGCTTAACTTTTAAAACGTACGGTGTTGGGTTTTTGCCAGTTGATCGCAATGGTAATAAATCTTGACTGGCATTGACAGTTGTTGAATTTTCCGCTACAACTCCAGTTTTGATGTTCTCACTGTTTGGAGATCCAAATTTATTATTTGCTTTCTTGTCAGCCAATGTTGGTAATGCAATATTTTTTTCAACAGTTTCAGAGGTCGTATCTTTAGGTGGGACATCTAGTTCAGTATCATCACAGACCTCAAGTTTAATAACAATATCTTTGTAAGGCAATGTTGTGCTTCCTTCTTTATCCATTATGTGCAGGTCTGGATGTATTGATGAGTTTAAGACTGGAGAAAAAAATAAAATTTATTAATCTGAATAATCTACATAGATAAAAAGCAATGTATGTGTGTGTGTGTCTGTGTCTTTTATGCATTACCACACCTCTTATCACATCGCCGTGAAACTTCGGGAAGTTGTTGAGAATATTCCTGGGGAGGTTTCTTCGAAAAAAAAAATTCAAATTCGCAGGGGCGGCGCCCCGGCAGGGTGCGATTTGTTTTTTTTCTATATACAGTATATAAAAATAAAAGTCTATTTTGATTTTTTTCTCTATACACGGTATATAAAAAATAAAACTCGGATGCGGTTCATCCGAGTGCCATGAAACTTTAGGGAGTATATGAGAATACTCCCGAGAATATTTCTGCGAAAAAGAAAACTAATGTTTCTTATGGGCGGCGCCATATAGGGTACAACTTTCGTCAATACACGGTTTGGCGCCCAGAGTTTTAGAGCGACTATGTTGGCACTTGGCATCCGTTAATCGAGCGTCCTGCATAGCGAGTAAGGGGTACTACTATATTCAGCGGTAAAACTATAACAGGCTTCTAAAAATAACTTTGTAACACGAGGAAATCCTTCTGTAGAGTTTCGTCACCTTGCCAAAGAGGAAAAGATAAATTTTTGAATATGAGGAGCTTACTGTAGAGTTTCGTCACTTTGCGAATGATGCAATAAGCATCTATTATTAGACAATCCAGTCAGAAATTGAGATCGAGCATCTAATAATAGACCATTAGTAACGCAAGCATATTGCATCAGTCACACTGATGTTTAAAACATGTCAAATACTTTTTTTACATGTTAAAGAAAAAAATCCTGTTCATTTGTGTCACTTTAGCGAATGATGAAATCTACATCATTATTAACATGATGCTATTTGGCACGATGGCGCCTGTTAGTTTTAAGGAGCCAGGGGTCGTACGTGGCGCCTATGCGGTAGTGTAATCGATGGGAGGTGCTCCTGAGAGCGCCACTCTACGTCCCTGACACATGGGTGGTAACCGAAGTGTGTTCTACCTGATTATATTTCGGTAATTTATGTACACACTAGGCATACTGCCTAGCTTCGCTTAGGTTTTTAAAAAACATTTGAGAATTTGATTTTGAATACTTATTTTAGCGATGGATTGGGTGTGCAGTGCTTATTTAAACAGTTGTCATTTAAATTCCGTTCTCAGAGAAACATTGGAAAGTACGATATCTATAACTAAAATGGAATTAGAACTACACAGGTTCCATAAACAGTATATCTCATAGTTTATATTACATTTTCTTTTGAAATTTATTTATTTATTTAAATAGGATACGGAACTGAATTAACAACTTTATTTTGTACTAAAACAAATGCTATACTTCGTCATTTTCTGTTTCTGTTTAAAATAGTATACAATTTTTTGAAAAATAATAATTTAAAAAACGTTACCTCCCTTGAAAACTGAACGTATGACGTATGTCTTTGTTTTTTTTTACAAACAGTTGCTATGCTTATATAAGAAATTACGGTATATGAACATATTTAACAACTATAATGGCTGTTTACGACGGGAATAAAGTTTTTTTGTTAGCCTCTAGGGTCGGTCTACGATGTCACATAATATTAAGGGGATCGTTCGTCAATTTATTTATATATATATATATATCTCATATAAGGAGAATTTCACTCAAGATCATCGTCGAGGGCTTTGAGTCTGACAAACAGTTGTTCCATACGGCCTAGTCATCTATAGTAGTGTATGCAAAAACTTAGCATGATGTACAGACGTTAAGTAACCTAAAAAATGGTGTTAAATTTTCCCGGTTTTTGCCATAAAATACAAAGATTATATAGGGAAATACAACTGGTCAGTTTTGACCGCTTTACGAAGTTTTCCCAGATATGCCGAGTTTTTTGTGACACCCCTAGGTGTTCTTCTACCACCTCACAAAATATCAAGGGGGGTCGTCGGAGGAATTTTTTTTCGTAATAGAGCTCATATAAAGAGAATTTCACTCGCGGTCACTTTTTAGCCCTCGTCGAGGGCTTTGAGTGTAACCGAAAGTTTTCCCTAAAGGTCAAGCCATTGACCTAGGAGCGTGCAAAAAATTAGCCAGATATAAAGAGCTTAAGTACCCTAAAGTCTGCGTTGAAATGACCCTCTGTTTTTCCCATAAAATACAAAGATTATATAGGGAAATACAACTGGTCAGTTTTGACCCCTTTACGAAGTTTTCCCAGATATGCCGAGTTTTTTGTGACACCCCAAGGTGTTCTCCTACCACCTCACAAAATTTCAAGGGGGGTCGTCGGAAGAATTTTTTATTCGTAATAGAGCTCATATAAAGAGAATTTCACTCGCGGTCACTTTTTAGCCCTCGTCGAGGGCTTTGAGTGTAACCGACAGTTTTCCCTAAAGGTCAAGCCATTCACCTAAGAGTATGCAAAAAATTAGTCAGATATACTGAGTTTAAGTACCCTAAAGTCTGCGTTGAAATGACCCTCTGTTTTTCCCATAAAATACAAAGATTATATAGGGAAATACAACTGGTCAGTTTTGACCCCTTTACGAAGTTTTCCCAGATATGCCGAGTTTTTTGTGACACCCCAACGTGTTCTCCTACCACCTCACAAAATTTCAAGGGGGGTCGTCGGAGGAATTTTTTTTTCGTAATAGAGCTCATATAAAGAGAATTTCACTTGCTGTCACTTTTTAGCCCTCTTCTAGGGCTTTGCGTGTAACCGACAGTTTTCCCTAAAGGTCAAGCCATTGACCTAGGAGCATGCAAAAAATTAGCCAGATATACTGAGCTTAAGTATCCTAAAGTCTGCGTTGAAATGACCCTCTGTTTTTCCCATAAAATACAAAGATTATATAGGGAAATACAACTGGTCAGTTTTGACCCCTTTACGAAGTTTTCCCAGATATGCCGAGTTTTTTGTGACACCCCAAGGTGTTCTCCTACCACCTTACAAAATTTCAAGGGGGGTCGTCGGAGGAATTTTTTTTTCGTAATAGAGCTCATATAAAGAGAATTTTACTCGCGGTCACTTTTTAGCCCTCGTCGAGGGCTTTGAGTGTAACCGACAGTTTTCCCTAAAGGTCAAGCCATTTACCTATAAGCATGCCAAAACTGAGCCAGATGTAAAGAGGGTAAGTGCCATAAAATCCGTTTTGAAATGACCCTCTGTTTTCCCCATAAAATACAAAGATTATATAGGGAAATACGACTGGTCAGTTTTGACCCATTTCCCGATTTTTCCCGGACATGGCGAGTTTTTTGTGACACCCCAAGGCGTTCTCCTACCACCTCACAAAATATCAAGGGGGGTCGTCGGAGGAATTTTTTTTTCGTAATAGAGCTCATATAAAGAGAATTTCACTCGCGGTCACTTTTTAGCCCTCGTCGAGGGCTTTGAGTGTAACCGACAGTTTTCCCTAAAGGTCAAGCCATTGACCTAGGAGCATGCAAAAAATTAGCCAGATATACTGAGCTTAAGTATCCTAAAGTCTGCGTTGAAATGACCCTCTGTTTTTCCCATAAAATACAAAGATTATATAGGGAAATACAACTGGTCAGTTTTGACCCCTTTACGAAGTTTTCCCAGATATGCCGAGTTTTTTGTGACACCCCAAGGTGTTCTCCTACCACCTCACAAAATTTCAAGGGGGGTCGTCGGAAGAATTTTTTATTCGTAATAGAGCTCATATAAAGAGAATTTCACTCGCGGTCACTTTTTAGCCCTCGTCGAGGGCTTTGAGTGTAACCGACAGTTTTCCCTAAAGGTCAAGCCATTCACCTAAGAGTAAGCAAAAAATTAGTCAGATATACTGAGTTTAAGTACCCTAAAGTCTGCGTTGAAATGACCCTCTGTTTTCCCCATAAAATACAAAGATTATATAGGGAAATACAACTGGTCAGTTTTGACCCCTTTACGAAGTTTTCCCAGATATGCCGAGTTTTTTGTGACACCCCAAGGTGTTCTCCTACCACCTCACAAAATTTCAAGGGGGGTCGTCGGAAGAATTTTTTTTTCGTAATAGAGCTCATATAAAGAGAATTTCACTCGCGGTCACTTTTTAGCCCTCGTCGAGGGCTTTGAGTGTAACCGACAGTTTTCCCTAAAGGTCAAGCCATTCACCTAAGAGTATGCAAAAAATTAGTCAGATATACTGAGTTTAAGTACCCTAAAGTCTGCGTTGAAATGACCCTCTGTTTTTCCCATAAAATACAAAGATTATATAGGGAAATACAACTGGTCAGTTTTGACCCCTTTACGAAGTTTTCCCAGATATGCCGAGTTTTTTGTGACACCCCAAGGTGTTCTCCTACCACCTCACAAAATTTCAAGGGGGGTCGTCGGAGGAATTTTTTTTTTCGTAATATAGCCCATATAAGGCGCCGGTCAGTCGAGGTCAGTTTTGACCCCCTCTCCGTAGACTTTTTGCCAAACCGTCACCGGCCCTCGTGTTCTATCGCCATAAGGCACCTTCGTGCCAAATTTGACGCGCCTGCGGCGCCGGGAAGTGCCCTATCGGGCACCCGACCACTTTGCTTTATATATATAGATAAGGTTTTCACGCGGTAGTGTAGGTAAACCCGTGTCCCGGTATTTATAATCCAAGCGCAGGCATTGTTTACATTTAAATAACTCACTTTTAGAAAACAAGGTTACGCGTCTTAGAATATAGGATTGGTAACTTGGCAACGTATGGATGAAACCCTCCTTCTATCCCCGCAGCAACGCGCGGGCACGGGTACGCTAGTTAGTAAATAAAAAGACAAATAAATTTACATTACCATACAAGTAAACTATATAGGCCTAGGCCTAGTCAACTTGGAAATATAAGTGCCCACCCCGAAAAATGTACGCCCCCCTTGGGGTCGGCGTGGTCGAGTCGGTAAAGCTCATGGTTGCTAAACCGAAAAGTCTCGAGTTCGAACCCTCGGACAGATGAGGCTCGTTAGCTGGGGACAGCCACTCTTCTCGGAGAGACAACTCCAAAATCAAACAACTGCTGCCTTG